ACTTTTCAATTACTCTGAAATTTTTTTTCAGATTTTTGTTAATAATGTAAGCCATATGAGCCGGCTTGTTTGGCTCACGAGCTGGCTCAGCTTGCCACATTTTGGACTTGAGCCAAGCCGGCTCGTGAGCTGAAATAATTTGGCTCAGCTCGAGCCTGCTCATGCGGAGCTTTATAAATAATATACCCTGAGTTTTGGTATAGCTATAAATTATTTTAAATTACTTGAGAAAATGATACAATCTGAGCTTTCAGAGTTCCTCAATACTACTGCCTTGTATAAACAAGATTTTAAAGCTAAAGATATTAGTGAATTCTTATATAAAATTCGTGATGATAGTGTTAGATCAAGACATTTCCTTGACGCAAACAATGAGAATAAAATAGAAGCCATACTTTCAGATTATGAAGGCCCTTCCTTACATGAATATATTGATGGTGATGAGCCACTCTGGCCTATTATAGATTTTGATTTACTAATAGAAACACTAAATGCTATAACTTCCTAGCTTTTATACAAATAGGTGAGCAATTTATTATATTGCACTTTTAAAGATACTTGTCTAAAAATTTTCCTAAAATGGGATAAAAAAACTATATCTATTGCCGATAGTAATGATGAGAAAAAATATCTCTACATATCTTATCTTTCGGTATGAGACTTTTAAATATCACTAAGGCTTCAGTTTTCACTGAGCTTATTCGTAAAAAACTTCCAGTAGGATTGCAGAAAAAGGTATTATTGATAACATAGCAAATAGAGGTCCTTCCAAATCTTTCTCTTTGCTAATGATTTGGTTATCCAAATACGATAAAAAAACAGATGAATACGTTTGTATGAAAAAACCTATTTGTTCAAAAGATAGAATTATCTTTGATTTCATGATTCATCTGCCCAATGATGATTCTAAAGTCATTGATGATCCTCTATTAACCATTTCAGAACCAGAAATTAAAAGATGCCTGACTGAAGAAAATGAAAATAATGATATAAGTAGTGAAACCACTTAGGCTGAATTTGAATTTGTGGAATCATTACTTAAAGAAAATGGCATAGAAGAATATAGCCTTTCATATCTATCTGAAGACTTTTCTAACAAATTTCCATTAACACGTAACTCTTCATCACTGCCCATTATGTGATAGAGAGCATACTAGTGATAATGCATATACTAAGGAATAGTAACTATTATATGTCTGAAGCATAATTTTGATAATTCGGGATTATTTCAGTTAACTGAGCTTATAAGTAAAAACCACGTATTTATAAATGCTTTTTTGTATTAAATTTTTATTGACCTTAAATCATGTAATGCGAGATAATCTAAAATTAAAATAAATTAAATTAATCACATATGCACATGTGACAATAGTAATATAAAATATAATTGGATATTGGTATATGCAGGACAGAACCACATTGCATGTGAATTAGCTAGTAATAGGTTGTCCTCCACTATGCTTTGGACAAATATACGAAATTAAAAATCATATAACTTTAAATGTTAATGCATAAATCATGAACGAAATCGTAGAACGATAAATCCCTCAATAAAGCTCACCATTAGCGAGACAGCCTTAGATAGGAAAAAAAAGCTTCTAATTTCAGAGAAACAGGGTCAGCCTAAAATTTCTGACCCTAATGATTATTTTGTGTGGTAGGATTTAATATTCATGTGTACCTCTAAGAAAAGATTTACACGTAATGAAGTGTATAATGCAATTCAAGCAATGATCGCCTGCGTCTAATGATACCTGACGAAATTATCTTTCTTAATATGATGAAATTAACGAAACTGAAATAACGAAACTAGGTTTTTATTAATGACAAAATTATTTTATTTAATTGCCGAAATTATATTTAACTTGATCTAAATTTCTTGAATTAAAATACATTAAAAAATATAATAATTTTATATTTATTCATATAAAAATATTAAAGAGACGAAACTTTTGACGAAATTACAATTTTTCAAAAAAGAGTTTAGTCAGGTATCACTATCTGCGTCCAAAAGAAAATAAAACATTTTTACTCCCCTATCAATGAATTTTTGTATTAATACACTTGAAACATCTTCTAAAGAGCCATGGTAATCCTCAAACTTTCGAAGATATTCTCTTGTGATTTTATCAGCCTCTTCTACCATTTCTTGATTAGTATAGCCAACAATATTGAGTTCTTCTTGAATTGCTATTATATCCTCTTCTAAATACTTAAGCAAATTAAATATCTCCTTCAATGAAATATCTGTAAAAGCTTCATTGCTTTGATATTCTACTTCTAGAATAGGATTATCATCAATGTTAAGATTTTTTTGTATTAGCATTAAATACCCTACTGAATTAGCAAGCGTTTTCTGCCTTTTTGCTTCAATGTTTGCTATTTGATTTGCATTATCACTAATACCAAGTTTTTCCTGAATAGATTATATCCTTCTTCTTATATAATAGTACTTCATATAATTGATTAAGCGTTTTGGAATTATTTGTCATGATTGCTATAATAAAGTAATATATTTAATGTAAAAATTTTCGAGTCTGAAATACAGATTATTATTACAAAGTGGTGATCATCAGCTCAGAAGAATTTGCTGATCCATACACAGCATCTGTCTCTTTATTTTTTTTCTTTGAGATTTTAAAAAATCCTGATAGCTATTTACCCTCCCTTGTACCTTTAGTACTGCAAGAGAGAGCTTACCCTAATATTTTATCCTGATAGTGTATCTTAATAGGTTATTTTTTTCAAATGAATATGAGAAAAAAGGATCTCTCACAAATTTTAAGCTTAATAGAATAACTATGTGATACCAAGGAACTTCGATGGAAAATATGGCCATATGTTATTGATACTGATGAAATTAAAATATCTCTTGATAAAAAACGTAAACCAGTTTATGGTTGACTAAATAATCTACCTATTTTTACTGATTTTAAATACTAACATTTTGATAATACACAGACATTTAAACTGAAATAGATTCATTGAGGCAACGTATTACTAAGCTTAAGATTGAGAAAGCTGAGCTTAAAGCTGAACTTGAGACCAAGAATTTTGAGATCCCTGAACTTAAAAAAAAGCTTGCTGAGGTTGAAGCTAAGAATATTGAGATAGAGGCCAGAAATGCAAAGCTTATAAAGCATATAATAGAAGAAAATAATCAACATGATGCTAAAATTGAGAATACAATGATAGAGTTGCGAAATTGGAACAGAAGCAGTTGCAAGATGATGATACTTCTAATAACAACTTATCTAACTTCAATTCAAGTGCAGAAACTCATGAAGAGCTATTAGAAGATAAGGGAATAGACAATTTCTTGAACGAGAAGAAAAGAATTGATGATGATATTAGGTGACACAATAAGGAGAAGCAACTTCTGCGAGAATCAGAAAAGATAGTACTAAAGATAGGTTAGCAAATGATAATGAACCACTTCAAGTCCAGAAAGATATTACGAATTCTACTTCAGAAGAATTGGAAAAATCAGAGACTCAAAGTAATACCAAAATCATCCTACATGAAGTAAAAACTAATCTAACAGAAGAATCAGCCATTTTGGAATCACTCCAGATTGATTCTGCTAAAGATAAAATAAAATCAATTGCACCTAAAAGCCTAGCACCTTCGAGTATAGTAACTGAATTTGTACAAGATTTGTTAGAAGAGTTACTCTTATCTGGTAGTCAATCTCTAGAGTCATTAAAGTTTTCTTCTTCTAAAACCATAGTTCCCAGATTTATAGATATTAAGAGGTTTGCCAATTTATTCTCTCAAGTAATTAATGTAAGAAAAAAATTGATCATAGCAAAACGAGCAGAGATTTCATCTTGAGGTTGCTTCTCAGAAAGGTTTGAAAATAAAGTTATGGAGTTTAGATCTGAGGATAAGAAACTTGCAGATAAGACTGCAAGAACACAAATTTATGCCAAAATAAACTATACCTTACAGACATTTCAGATGAATATTTACGTGTAAGGATCTCTAAGGCAAGAAAAATCAATAAGTTATTTGGGTTTAAATATGATCCTATAATCTTGAAAAGGGTTAATGGTATAGGATAGCATATGGTTCAGTAGATCACTTGTAGTTAAGGTTGGTAAAAGTCCTAATAAGTCCTAATTGGTCTTGAAGAATTTAAAGATAATTTTAATTTAAATACTATTAATTAAATTTTTTAATAATAAATTAATCTTTTTAATAATTATTATATATCAATTATTTTATTAATTTAA